GCAAGGGTCTTCCTAAAGAGAGGTTACATCCTTTTATATTATTTGCATTATGTATCACTTTCATCTTTCATTGCAGAGTTTGTTTGCCAAGAGCTCAATGAGCTTGCCATATTGGTCTGTGTCAAAGGCTTTTTTTTGTTCATAAAGCAAACATATATATCCATGATTGTGTCACAACATCTTTGCACAATTAGATGTGGGCAGAACAATCCTTCCCTGAATCCAGATGTTCCTGTCAGTCCTCTCAGTATGTCTTCTGCCATTTCTTTGCACTTCTGATAGATTTGATCTCAACCAAATTTCAGGAGTGAGTCCTGGGTTATTTTGGGAGAGGGTTTAATTAGAAAGATCAACTAATACATGCAAGTCATCATCTTCTGCTAGCTATAACACTTCTATGCTAATATCATTGAATCAAGGGCCCTTGCTGTTTTTAGAAATATTCGACTGCAACTTTTGGATTTCTATCTTTTTTTATTTAGTAGTGATACTTGATAAAATCAACAATGAAAAATAAATAAATAACTGAAAAATAATGTCTTTAATATTTTCTCCACATGATGATTTTACCATTGACCTTAGGTATTAGAGAACTGTTGTTGTCAGTGTTCCCTCTATTGCTGGCTCAGCAATACTATGAGTGAGAAGGATCTTGTATTTGCGAAGGCTTTCACGGCCGGGATCTAATGGTTGTTGTGGGTTTTTCGGACTCTTTAGCTATGTATGCGGCCAAAGAGCCCGAAAAACCCACAACAACCATTTGATCTTGAAGTTGTTGTATATAACAAGCTGACTATGAGCCAACAGTGTGATGTGTGTACAGAAATGCAAATGCTATTTTAGGATACATTAACTTGGCGGCGGACTATATTGGCAATTATAGGCCTGTCGCCAATGTTTCTTTCATGAGTAAAGTGGTTGAGCGGGTGGTGGCCGATCAGCTTCAGGAGCACTTGGAGGAAACAGATGCTCTGGATCCATTTCAGTCGGGCTTCAGGCTGTGCCATGGTACGGAAACGGCATTGGTCACCCTGTTAGATGACCTCTTGAAGGAGGCCAACAGGGGGAAAAACTTTTCTGCTGGTCCTCCTCGATACCTCAGCTGCCTTTGATACTGTCAACCATGGTATCCTCCTGAGGAGGGTCTCCGAACTGGGAATCGGTGGTCAGCCATTGGCTTGGCTCCGGTCCTTCCTGGGGGACCATCCTCAGAGAGTCGGCCCCATGGAGCCTCAATTGTGGGGTTCCGCAGAGGTTCGATCATTTCTCTAATGCTGTTTAACACCTATATGAGGCCGCTGGGTGAGGTCATCGGGGTGTAGAGCATCATGCCATCAATATGCTGATGACACACAGCTCTACATCTCCTTTTTGCCAACTACAGCGGATGCTGTCCCTGGGGTCTGTACTGCAGTGGATGCGGGAAAAGGGGCTGATGCTGAACCCGGACAAGACGGAGGTCCTGAGGGTGGGGGGGCCTAGCGGTTTGGGAAACTCCTTCCCTTTTGGGGGGGTGACTCTCACCGCGAAGAGTGAGGTGTGCAGCTTGGGGGTCCATCTGGACCAGGCGCTTGCCTCGGAATCCCAGGTAGCATCAGTGGGACGCACCACGTATTTCCATCTCTGGCGGATAGCCCAGCTGCGCCCCTATCTAGAAGTTGGTTCGCTCACCACTCTGGTCCATGCGCTCGTAATCTCGAGATTAGACCACTGTAATGCTCTCTACGTGGGGCTGCCTTTGGGAACTATGCAGAAACTCCAGATGGTGCAGAATGCGGTGGCCAGACTTATTACTGGGGTAAGGAAATATCAACATATTACTCCCACTCTGTCTGCCTTGCACTGGCTGCCCGTTTGGTTCCACGTAGATTTCAAAGTTTTAACACTTACGTATAAAGCCCGAAATGGTTTAGGGCCTCGTTACCTGACGGAACACCTTCTCCCACCTAGGTCTACCCATATCACTCGATCTAGCCAGGAGGTGAGACTGAGGAGCCTAATGCCGAGGGAGGCCCGGAAGGAAAAAAAATGAGAAACCGGGCCTTCTCAGTGGTGGCTCCTCGTCTTTGGAATAGCCTCCCTCCTGTGATTTGTATGGCCCCTTCCCTGGACATCTTTGAACGCCAACTGAAAACCTGGCTGTTTAAGCAAGCCTTTCCTCCATCCACTGTCTGATTTTGTTGCATTTGCATTTCTGTGCCTTTTTCCCATCTGGATTATTGTGGTTTCTTTTTTTAGTGAAATGTTATGATTTTAAATTGTATTAGATTTGATCTGTTGTTACCCGCCCAGAGTAGTCGGTACGACTAGATGGGTGGGCTATAAATGTAACAAATAAATAAATATTAACAGAAGTATAGTTTCCAAATTCTGTGAGGAACTAGTTTCCCTCTATTCAGCACAATTTTGGACACCACACTTCAAGAAGGATACCAACAGATTGAGCAAGTTCAGAGGAGGGCAACAGGGGGCTGGAAACCAAGCCTTATGAGGAAAGACTGAAAGAACTGGGCATGTTTAGCCTTGAGAAAAGAAGACTGAGGGGAGATATGACAGTACTTTTCAAATCTTTGAAAGGTTGTCGTACGGAGGAGGAGCAGGATCTCTTCTCGATCATCACAAAGTGCAGGACACGCAATAATGGGCTCAAGTTACAGGAAGCCAGATGTTGGTTGAATATCAGGAAAAACTTCCCAACTGTTAGAGCAATATGCAGTGGAACCAATTACATAGGGAGATGGTGAGCAACGCTGGAGGCATCAGTGGAACCAATTACGTAGGGAGATGGTGAGCAACGCTGGAGGCATTCAAGAAAAATGTAGACAACCACCTGGCAGATATCCTTTGATTTCCACTCCTGCATTGAGCAGGGGGTTGGACTCAGTGGTCTTCCAACTTAATGATTCTAAATTGTGTGCGCGCACGCAGAGCTCCATCATTGCTGTGCACCAGCAACTGGTGTTGATGCCCATTTAGTTCCAGTTTCAGATGAAACCCTGCCCCCCTGCATGCACAGGTGAGTCTCCCATGCAGCGGGGCCAAATATTAGAGAGAATGTTGCTATCAGTAATGAGCATTAACATTTTTTGAATATGCTGTCTACCTTCATTTTTTTAATTGCACATTTTAAAAACAATGAATCTTTTATGTTTTTCTATTTCTGTTCCTTGTTTGTACTATCGTTTTTCTTTGGGTTTTCTAATTCTGCTTTGTTTTTGTGGAGTATTCTGTATTTGCGATCAGTTTTATTTTTCCATTTTATCTTTCTTCTACTATCTCTAATAATTCAGTCATCCATTTCTTTTTTTCTCTTACATTTCTGCTATGAGATTGTTACTGGTTACACATTTGCTAAGGGTCAGTCAATATAGAAAAAAATATTATTTACATCTAAACTAAACCTGTTTTTGTTGTTACTTTTTTGTTTTTTCTTCAATTTGAGGTGGACTATGTTGACATCAGGATTATGATTTAAATGTTGATCAGCTCTGCAGTATGTTTTCAGAACTTCAGATTAATCAGGATATCATGAATTCAGTTGCTTGGTGTTAGTGCCATCTTTTAGGGAATTTTAAGTGTACAGTCCCTTGGATGTTAATCTGAACGTCATGTCAGTTTTTCCTCACAAAAGTATAATTTGTTGTCCGTGTTCATTCTGTGTCCATTGTCAGTATCTTCTTGCGAATTCCTGTAACCTGTTTTCTCTGTCTTATTATTAAAGCCCCTCATTATGTAATTGAAGTGCCATTTTAAAATATGTTCTTAATAGTTTTGAGTTCTTCATAGATTTATTTTCTCTGTTTCATCTTTATCTTGGGGCATATACTTACATGACGTTGCTATCTATAGGATTTTCCTGTATCTGGATTAACTAGCATTGTCCAGTCTCAGTACAGAGCATCACTGTTGCTTTTTGCCAAAATATAATATGCTCAGTATATTTATCTGTAGTTGTGTAGATCCCTGGCAACAAACTTAGTGTATTGTTTAGCTTTTTTTGTTCCTTTAACTGTACTGTGGAGAGGACTTTTTTTTACATCATACATAGTTAATATAGTCCAAGTTCCTCATTTTACTACTATCTAGAAGTTTGTAGCTCCCTCTGGCAATCTGGTTTGCCTCTGTGCTGATCTTGAGGAGCAGTGCCTCAGCCACACCAGATATTGGGAAGTGGTTAATTAACATTAACTCGGGTGGAGGATCTTTGTATGTTTCTGACTAGCTATGATGGGTGGACTTGTAACATATAACATATGTGTTTCCATTGGTTTCCACATATCAGTGTTTCAAGTGTTTGTGATGGCTACCATTATCCTTCAGGTTTCCACGTGGAAACCCAACTAGCATCCTTTGCCTTCCATTTTGTGCTAACAATTACTACTGCCTAAGATTAGGTAGTATTTGAGGCAGTTCAATTCCACAGTTCTCTTCCACCATGTTTCCAAAGTTTGCCCAGTATCAATGCACGAGGTGCTACCTTTCTTGTTAATATAGATGAAGAACCACGGTATCTTTTTGTGCCATTGTCATATTTGTGACAATGCTCTCGAAACACTTGGTCCTCTTTCAGATGGTTGCATAAAAATTGGTAAATCACAGGGCTAGTAGATCCCTGAAGGGCACCAATAGGTTATGGTTTCAAACAAAAGGTCCCTATAATCTCCATTTAATACCGAATGCCAAGAAAGATCATTTGAAAAATAGGAAACTTGCACATAGTAAAATGTGCGTAGAAGTTCTCAACCTAATATTGATTTACACATCCAGTGAAAAATGAAACTCTTGTGGTGGTGGAACTATAGCCAAATCCATCTTTTACTTTGATTGATCTGAGTTTTCTGTGCCTTTATTGCTCAAACCTCATTGTTAGAGATATACCCTACTTTTCTCTCAAAAAATTGGATTCAAGTTAACAAAATACTTTTTACTTTGTTTGAACATGGGAACATCCATAGTCTGTTACTGTTGCTAGTAATTTTCAATTTTCTGCACTCTTTCAGAGATTACAAAGGAAACTTCCATGAAGACTTTAAATACGAAGACTGTATACGTTCATGTTACACCAACAACAGCCGAATATTGAGCGAATCAGTTTCCATGGTTGTTGCAGTTTAGACATTTCTTCATAAAGAATCCTAATTTGAAATGTGGACACTTTCATCAAGAATCTCCAAATCCTGTAGGGTGGTTTGAATGACAGCAGTACTATATGGAATGTATTTCTATCAGTGCATGTGTGATATGCTGCTTTAGATTTAAGTAGAGTGAACTTTCATTTTGTAATATGATGTTGTAAACACTATGCAGAGTAATACCTAGTCTAAAATACACAGAAGGATCTATGCAGTTAGTTGTTTGGAAGAAACAGAGATGAGTACCTCAGTCTCACTTGCCTCTGCCTGTTCTTTACAGAAGGACTACCTTTAGCTTTGGTAATATTGCTGTTTCTTCAGCATTCACACTATGTTATGTTTATTTTAAATCTGATTAAATTGTTCAGCGTCACTGATTGGCAGTTCATGAAGTATATGTTACAAAAGCAGCATCTGATGTCCATAATTTTGAACAATAAATTGCTTTACCAAGAGTGCTGTGTGGGTTAGTTTAAACGGAAATCTTTCTGCAGTGCTTTAAAGAAAATACTTTTATTTTTTATAACTGAACTTTGAAAGGCTATGGGAAATCAAGAAACATGGCAAAGTAGAGTTATTAAAGTTTTTTTGGACCAAATCCTATTGCAGTTTTATGGAGTAAACTGGAAATAGTGTAACTGGTTTTAGTCGTTTCTCTGGCTGTCACATGCTTGCAACATGCTCACGTTTCTCACTTCATTATGCATTCTCTTGCACACCTAGGTGCACAACAGCCACCCAGAAGTTTCCTGTCCCATTAAATGCATGGTATGTCACAGAAGATGAAATCCTGTTACTTAAATGTAGTCACAACTAGAGCAGGCCTATTGAATCAATGGAGATTTGATGAAACTTTGATATGAGAATATATGTTCACCAACAGCTGGTTATATAAATGTGCAGATGAATTTTAATGTCTGTGCAGTGTTTTTAACCAAATAATTTTGGTTTGGGTTTTCTTTGTGTAAAGTGAAAACATTAAAACAGGGCAATGAAAAGAGAGAATATATACAGAAGTCATAGCTAGCTTACCGTTATGGACATTGCTATGGATGGATATGACTGTACAGTATATTGCTTAGTTGTTAGGCTTTGTTTGCATTTCAGGTGTAGAAAAATGCTCAAGGATTTGTGGCATCTCAAGGTTAATAAAAAGATCAGTCTCATTCCCTTGTACCAAAATCCCTTCATCCACAAGTATTTTCAGGATTATTGTATTAGTGATACAAAAGTGCAGTTTTTAGTTTTCTAAAGCAAAGTGCAGCCTTCCAAATGTTCGTGTATTGCACCTTCTGTTAGCCTAAACCTGTAGAGCTAAGAGTGAGAAGTGTGGGAGCAGCAGTCTTGTCTGGTAGGTTGCATTTTGCCCAGCCTCCACTTAAGAGAAAATACATAAAGGCAAGTGTAAGAGTATAATGTAACTTTTTAAATAAAGCACCACAGTAACTGTTTAAAATATACAGTAACATTCAAGTACTGTTGCACTCTGCATTTTTAATAGCCACATTAGCCGTGTCAATACTATAAAAATGAACAGAACTGCTGTGCATTGAGCACAGCTTCAAAGTAATACTAGACTGAAACACAAGGGTTACAAGCAGAAAAAGATAATCTGTAACAAAATATTTTCCTGACTCAAAGTACATACAATGCCACCATCGGCCAAAAATAGGCTCTAGTCGGCAGAATGGAATACCTTAAATGGACCAAATCCCGCTATCTCTTGATTTACATTTAGTATAAAATGCATCCAGAATTGGCTTCCTAGATTTTTACCCTTGATAAGCGGCCGGTGTGCTCTGCAAATGAAAAATAAAACATATATTATGTGTCTGTGTGTGTTTTTTTTTAAAAAAAAATCATTGTATCCACAGCTTCTTTTCCCCCTGTAGCCTCAATTGAGCAGTCCAGTACTCTTTTTATTGTGCCATGAGAAACATAGCTGTGAAACAAACAGAAGATCTTTGAATAAGACATGTTAGAAAAGGCTTGTCTAAAGAAGCCTTATAAGACCATGCTGGAATTCTTGTAAATCAGACACTGTGTACGTGTCTCTTCTGGTTGCTTTGATTGTCACGGATCCACTATAAATAAATATTCTGTATGACTAAAAGAAGGCTACCCTGAGTGGGGTGCTTGACTTTCCTGAGATGGCAGACCAAGTAAGAATGTGGGGAAACAGTTCTGCTGCTGGGTTTGTCTGATGACAATAGTGCCCTTGGTCCTGAAAGCGGGAACATAAGACTTAACAACCAGCTCCAATCTGTGATCCTGCTGCTTACTTTCCCCACACAAAGATGGTGGTTATGATAGGCCTAAACTCCCTTGTGCCCCTGGTAGTGGAAACAAAAGGCTTTCCCAACCAAAGAAAGAGATTTCAGAGCCAAAACCTGAAACTAGGGTTACAGTTCCTTGGGCCAACACAAAAAGCAGATTGGTACATAATACTTTCAGAATAATATGTTTAAGTGTGTTTGTGCATAAAAATTGCCTGAGACAAACCAATTCTAGACAATGCATGTGTGAAACAGTGTCATATATAGCGTATAAAATGTCTGACTCAGGAGACCTGGGTTCAGATTGCTTCCCAACCATACAAATGCCAAGTGTAAACAAATCCTTGAATATTTCATGTACCTCAAAAACCCTCCTACCAGTCACCATAAGTCTTAGAAATGGGTTGGTGGCACATAATAAAGGCATGCATATAAATAGGTTTTGCTCTGAGATAGTAAGCCCTGGCACCAGCTGGGAGTGGGAAGAAGATGAGTAGCCAGGCAGCAAATTTGCCACACCCCGTAAACTTAAACTTTCTCCTTGGACAGAGCTGCCTCCCTGGGATTTTGCTTCTAGAGACCCAGAGAAGCAGAGTAATTCCCTGAGACTTCCACCAGCTCCCTGACATATGGCAACTCTAAAAGGGCATTGGGAACCCTTCACAGTTCTTCTCCCCATGTGGGTAGGTGATGCTATGAATTTTTCATACCACTGTCCTTCATACTTGCTACATGTTATTTATTAAATAATCTATACATCATATTATCGAAGGCTTTCACAGCTGGGATCTGATGGTTGTTGTCGGTGTTCTGAGTTGTTCTTAAGGTTTTTCTTCCTAACATTTCAAGAAAGCCTGGCTCCCAGCACTGAAAAATAAAGCCTGCAAAAGGTCAACGAGGACCAGTGATCACTGCACACAAAAGACCAGCTAATGACACCCATCAATCACAGTGACA